TCGTCAGGAGCCGCGCGACTTTCTTTCTACGGAAACGGAAGATTACTTCACCAGCCATTCGACGCAGCCTATTCCTGCCATCCTCCGTACCCCAGCATCGCCCTCGACGACGGCATCGGAACTCGAAAGCGAAGAGGCGTTGTACATTCCACTCACAACGCGGCAACAAGTCTGGAACGTGATATGGAAAACATATCATACGCTTTTCCCCACATTGTACAGCCTCAGCAAACAAACTCTCTTGGCCCAAATGGCTTGTGTGCTTGCCGCCCCGGCTGTGCTGTTCTTGACGTTGACACTTCCTGTCGTAGTGACGCCTTACGATAGTACGCGCTCGTCGCACGAAAAGGTGTACAATGCGGATTCGCGACTGGTGGAGTTTGAAGAGGAAGGTATGGCACGTGTCCTGATTGCAGAAGAGGAGGTAGAGGAGGATTTGCACGAGCCATTCAATAAATGGCTTATGGCTGCCCAGTGCGTCTTGGGGCCGCTGTTCTGCGTTAGGGTCCTATTTGGTATGCCTCTTTTTCAGTAACTCAGGTGTACGTGACTGATCAACCTCGTGAAGGCGGCATTTCACAAGCATTCTGGATACTTCTCGGAACTTTGGTCGCTGGACTCTCTGTTGGTATCCTAGTCCTAATTTTCTCTGACAAAGGAAAGAGTCCAGCCGCTCGCATGGCTCGCTGCTCAATGGGTTTCTTCGTCTCGATCGTGTGGATCATGGCAATAGCAGACGAAGTCGTGAACGTCCTTCAAGTAATTACCCTTCTTATCCCACAGCGCGGTGCAAGCTAACCAGTATTGCATCTAGACATTCGGCCTCATCTTTGGTCTCTCAGATGCAATTATCGGGCTTACTATTTTCGCTGTTGGAAACTCGCTTGCTGACCTTGTCGCCAACATGAGTGTCGCGGTACGTCGATCTTTGTTCCTTTGTATGATCTGAAATGCTCATGCTTTATCTATCTAGGCATTCGCACCTATCATGGGTTTCTCGGCATGCTTCGGTGGACCCATGCTCAACATCCTTCTCGGCGTCGGCGTATCAGGTTCCTACATCATTCACCAGACCTCTCAACCATATATCCTCAAGCTATCCACAACACTATTCGTCAGCTCATTCGGCCTGCTTTTCCTCCTCGCTGCAACTCTCATTTTCGTCCCCATGAATGACTACTTCCTAACACGCCGATGGGGCGTCTTGCTGATTGCTACGTACACTATCATCATGCTCATTAACGTTATCGTCGAGCTCAAGAGCTGATTCGGGACTTGTTTTCGTTTGCTTTCATATTCTGTATTTTATGGCATCTTGGACTAATAGTGTTGTTTTTCGCATGGAGCATGTCTTGTACAATACCATCGGCTATCGCGCAACAATTTTATTGTGGATTTGGTCTTATCTATTTTGCTAACCTGGGAAGGACTGGACTTGGGCAAGGGGTCTATCCAAGGTGAGATATCTCCTTTAATCATGGAAAGTTACTCTTAAACCGTATCACACAGACAAACTCCATTTCAATCACATTCCTGACCTTCAAATTTAGTATTGCCTCTCTTGGGCAGTCAACATTTCAACGGCCACCTGCAGCGTTAGACCTCAAAGGATGCCTTAAACCCGAAGTTATCGGGCAGCCTAAAGCTCGACTTCGATGTTGAACGTCGTTAGCTCCTTAATGGTATTCAATAACTTGATGGAACCCAAACATGGTGTCGTTTTGGTGTCGTGGATGCTTGCGTTGGCCAGACGGTGTAGCCCATCTATTAGATTCGCAAACTCTTAACTCTGACACTGTAGGTATGATGGAGAGACACAACCTGTTCAGATCGTCAATCTGCGACATCAAGCAATCAAAACTCGACGATAAACCAGTAGTAAACAAAGCTTACCGCGTTCACTAATCGGTACGGCGATGGATGTAACTGCGAGCGCAAAGATGGGGAATCTGAGCATCTATGGGCTGTGAGCAAACGAGAGCCTGGGCGCTCCCGTCCCCTTTATACCCCACAGTAGGGGCTTCAGTTATTTGTAACTTACACCCTCTCAGATGATGTTGGAGCATCACAGAAATCTGTCGAAGAAGGTAGAGGAACGCAGGCTGTTAGCAACACCTGATAGCACTATGGTTGGGAAATCGAAGCACGCAATTAAGTATGGGTACGGTACACCGTACAACCCCTCTCCGGCCGGATGTTTACGATGCAAGAGTGGCATTCGCGGAACTCGGCACAATTAACCCGGCACGGTAGGCCAAGGGGCAACTGTCTTTCCTTCAAGGCCCGCAGCGCCTAAAATTTAGCGCGCATCACACGGGATGGTGAAACGCGTGGAACACCCTCTAACCAGAAAGACGTAGACTAGAAGCAGTCTGCAGTTCAAACTCGTCTCTGAATTCTGATTTACTTGGTAATGTAGATATTAACCTCCTGCCGTTCCACCACGATCCTCCCCCAATGCTCTGCAGCTCTCGTGAAGAACATTAGTACGCAATACTAGTCATGCACCGTGACCTCACTTCGACCGCTGGCATCGTTCCAAATGATTGATTGAGCAATGGGATCTATACAGTGCAAGGGTATGTGCTCATATTCTGCTATAAGCGCGATTAACACATTGCGAAAGGTATATCTTGTTAATACATTTACGAGGTCGAGGACTGCGTTGCAGCCCGGCGGTTAGCAAGTCGCTCTTCCGTAAGGTTGGAAATTTCCTTCACGTGAATGACCTTGAATGGCCAAGTCAACCAATTACCACCACTCAGGTGGCTCGGCAGATACATATCTTCTAAAAGTTCATCCGCAACTTGAGGCCATCTAAAATATAGCGCCCCATGAAATATAATCCCATTGAAGTACAGTTGGGAAGGACTCACGTTAAATGATCAAGACCCGTGCTTTCACTCTCGGTAACCCATGGTACCACGTTCGGAAAGCGAGTCCTCATCCAGGCACATCGCTCTTCAGCCTTCTCGAGTGCTTCCTGTGGCGACGAAGGAAGACGCATCTTGTCACCACGAAAGTAGGATGCGATCCAATGAGCAGTGACCTCATTGGTGTAGCCGTAATTTGCACTGTACTGCCATTTCAAAGCATAAGAAAGGCTCGAGAAAATACAAGTTGAAGATGACTCACTAAAGCTCCAGCAATCGCGAAATCCCGTCTTTCGATATTCTTTGCTGGTATTATTCCACGATAAATAGACGTCACCCATTTCTCGTTCTCTGGATTAAGCTCTGGAGCATATTTCAAGCTCTTGTATTTCCAGACCTTCTTGACATCTGCCTGAGGCGCATGTTTATTTAGTCCAATTTCTTCCCTCATTTCCGCTGCATTCAAAGTTGAATATGCCAATGAGTGCGAGTCAACACAGTCACTGACAAGCAAAATATAAAGGAAAGCGTACGTGTAAATATCGGTGTCCACGAGGATTGGTATCCTGTGGCCAAAACGACAACCTTGGGTGCAAAAAATCTCCCGTCGCTCAACAGAAGTGACTTGCCGTCATTTGAGTAGCCTATAACTCGCGCGGGTGCGATTACTTCAATTGCACCCGAGTTAGCAAGGGCGTGAAAGCTGTTCAAGCGTACGACTCCTTCGTCGCTGACCCGGACGGTCCAGAACATGGGTTGTGTCCGTCGCAATGGAGAGTCCTGAGAAATGTTATAAGCCTTGAACTGTGTTGCAAAATGAGCAAAGGCTAACAAAGATGATGATTTAGTGCAACTGACTGGCAAATCTCCTACTATTTTCCAGATGGTGCGAGTTATGGCAGTCCCAACTGTTGTCATATGTAAAAAGCGCCTAACAGAAATATGAATGTGCTATACTATACCAAGAAGAACATAGCATAACTCACTCCAGAGGCGTATTTAGAGTGGAGTGAGGTGAAAGCATGCTAGAGAACCTGTCGACAATTGAATGTTATGTTCATTAAATAGTACATGGGAGGGACACGGCACAGACCTGCTTTTCCGTAGGAATGGCGGTATCGGAGATGGTCCCGCGAGCAACGTATCGGTTGTCTCGAAGACAATTGCTGCTTTTCGACCTTCATCGGTTAATTTGGCGCAGACGCTAAACATTACGTTAATTTACTTGTGGTCAAGAATATTCTCTAGGAAGACTCACTCTTGAGCGGATTTTCCGCCACCGACGACTAGAACGGTATCCCTTTCATCGTGGTCTTCGTGTGACGTTGGCTTAACTGTCGTCAAAATATTATCCATTCGAGAAGCGAACTCGGACGAGTGAATGACCATTGCGATAGTTTCAGTAGGTTTTTGTGAGAAAGCTTTTGGAATTTTGGGAGTGCTGCATCCCTTTTGAAGATATTTTTAAAACTGTAACTGAAAGGAAGTTATCGAACCTACTCCTGTAGCAAGGATAATGCGAGAGAATGCCAAAACTTTCGAAGACTTTGAGCGCTTATCTTCCACCTGGATTTTCCATTGCCCACTGTCGTTGCGCTTGATGTCGAGGACCTCTGTCTCCATTTCGAATTTTGCCTTGTCTTTTAGAAATTGTTCGCTAAAGTCCTCCACATAACTACACATGTCAACTCCGGTAAGACGATGATCGCCTCCAGAGCCTTCCGGAGGAGGCATGTCCAATGCAGAAAATTGGTATTCACCGTGAATGCTAAAAGAAGTGAACATGCTGAAAATCCAAAAATTTAGGACGGGGCTCACTTGTTGAGGTAAAGGCCTGGATAAACGCGCTCACGCGCCCATGTTCCACCAACGGTTTTATCCCGCGAAATGAGTGTGACATCTGTGAAGCCATCTTGGAGCAAGACATGCGCATTGATGAGGCCAGCAACGCCAGCACCAATAATCCCTACTGGCTCATAGACAACGTGGTCCGACATGGTTGCAAACAAGAGAGTTTAAGGGTCGGCAATGGTGGAAAAGTTATCCTGTAAATAGCCGCCAGCGGGCGCTCATCATTTCATAGCTTTTCATAACCCTGGTATCTGCAAAGTGTTTTTAGCAAATATGCCTTCGATAGCTCAGCTGGAAGAGCGCAAGACTGTAATGGGTTACAAAGCGATCTTGAGGCCACTGGTTCGATCCCGGTTCGAAGGACTCCTTTTTGTTGTGGAAAATCTTCCGAGGGCAGGGAACGTTCTATTTTTTTTTTAGTCAGGAGGCGCAGAATCGATCATATAAATTTAGATCATGGAACTCCGGCCCGAGAATCTGCTGGACACCTTTTGTTTTCGACAATGATGGTTACATGTAAGTAATCATTATACCGACTTCAAACGACTTTAAAATGTGATTTTTTTGGGCAACTTTAATCATGATACAATAAGCAGTGGGTATCAAAACTCAGGGAATGAACAGACGGTGAGTGTATGGAAGAATGAAGCGGGTGGTTGGTATAGCGAGCAGTATCAACATAGAGTCTGTAGCTGGCCATGGGTATGGGTCTCCGGGTACTTTATTTAATTTGAGTTCAATGGGCAAGAAACCAATCACCTTTATCCACCTTCTCGCTAGCTTGAAGCTCGCGATACTTCTGCCATTGGCTTCGATCCCACCATCATACATACACACGAGGGCGGTCGATTCCTCACAATCAAGGAAAAGGAATATTCGATTGTGAAAACACTGTTAATTAGCGATGCCATTCAGAGGCAATTCGGGAAGGTGGATTGTGTGTTAGCACGCGCGACACGATGGGGTCTACCATATCATCAAGGACACCTGGGCCAACATTACCAGAGATCATACAGAAGCCGAGATAATGGAAAAAGCTGCTGGAATCGAGAGCGTGGCACAACTTGTGGATGCGGAAATCGTTAAGATAGAGGGAAAAGACGACACAACAGAGAGCATCCGCGCTATAATCGATCGAAAGAATTATCACAGGACAGATTGGCTCGAAATTCGAGCACATTCGTGACGACCTCGTTGCTGAAGGATTCACACATTTTTTTTCCTCGAAGAGATCTGATTTCAATATTTGTCGATGTCTGAGGGTGCGCCTTACTTGGCACTTTTGTTCCGGGCACGAGAGCTAACTCCCAGTGAAAAACGACTCGAGTGAAATCGTGTGTATTCCAGTAGAATTGAGCCCTTCCCATGCAATCGAGTGATTTCTGAACTTTTCGAGTGTCTTCGAGTGTGCCGGATTATTATCAAAAACTTGCCGATGGTTCGTGCCTTGGCATTCTCTCGGACTTGGACTTTTCCCCAGAATGAGGGTGTGGAACGCGCTGACAAATGACGAGTACTTCAGGAATTTCCAAGTTCGCGTAGTTCAACTTCTTCCTTTGACACGTACCACCGGGTCCGCGACTCCCGTTCCTCCAGTTCTCCCTCCCTCTCGCTGATGTCCACCCTCCACCTTCCTTTTCGCAACACCATTGCCACCAATGCCACTGTCCTCTTCAATATCTGCATTCAATGTAAGCCATTCCTCCCTTTTTGCGCGTATATCGCATTCCTTACCAGATTTCCATCACAGCCATGAGGTCGAGCGCACTTCGGTCTCTCTCCTTCGTTATAACTTATGCGATGTATGTCCTCTGAGCGTATCTCCTGCGTTCTGTACTTATATCGTCTCTGCAGCCCTTGCCTTCAAGATATTCAAGCACATGGTTGGTGGTGGTGGATCTGCGGACTCGAATTACAGGTGTGTCTTGTGCTTATCACCGCGTGTATCCCAGCTAACTGCACCTCCTAGCCCCAAGCCAACTTCAATCCATACGCAGAATGCATAAATACATGCATGCCCAGTAAGTGGACCTCATAACTGGCTATAAGTATTCTTGGTAGTGTTAAATTCCGAGTCTTGTATGTGTACCACCCTGCAGTACTAGAGTATTCTAATCAAATGTGAATTTCGAACCAATCCATTGCCTATGAGAACAGATCTACGTCGCTCGAGGAGACTCTACCTCACTCAAAGATTGGGAAATTGCTCTGCCATATAAATAAAGCCTGGTAGAGTAGTGTCGAGCGGATTCGGGAATATTGCTCTTGGCATCATTTCACTCGAGGAGACAATATCCCACTCGATTCTACACTAAGATTTTTCGAGCGGTTCTCATTTTTCGGACGAAATCGAGCGCTATCGATTGGATTGATGGGAAATCATTTCAATCGATAATGCTCGAAGGTACTGGATCCCACTCGAGTCATTTTTCACTGGGGCTAACTGCTAAGATCTAAGAGCTAACATCATGATATATCGGCCGACAGCGACGGCAGCAAAAGATGGCGAGAACAACACCGACCAAAGGTTCCGGTGTCCAAAAACGCGCCAGAGAACGGCGATAATACATAGGGTCGACATGCGCAAGGGCCTCCTTATTGATCTCGATTACGCAACGCTTATCAACGAGGGCCCGATAGAACTGTCCCGTCGACGCCAACCAGCGACTCACACGTTGCTATAGGGAACTTTGCCATTTGTGGCTCTTGATATGTTACAGGGAAATGGCAAGAAACACAGGCCTCGCCACGATCTGGAGTCCTTCTCTTATATTCTTTTGTGGATTTGCTGGAACTACACAGGACCAAGCAACGTCGAAAGACAGAACTTTGACATCACGAGAGAACCAGGCCTGAGGGAATGGTTGCTCGGTGATGATTTCGAAATTGTCGCGGATCTCAAAGCATCCCAAATGTCGAACACAGGATTTCTGTTCGAACGCGGCACTTTGTGAGCTACTTCGCGCCCTACTTTGAAGACCTGAAGCCCTGTGTTGTGCGATTGCGAGAGAAAATATTTTCGCACATCGGCCAGGACACGGGTGTCAAGTATGAAGATACCAAGGGGCTGCACCCGGAAGATCCCGAGACATCGACTCCCCTTACCGTTCCTCTGATGCGAGGCGCTATCATCTGGGGTCCTAGTCAGAAACTTCCATATCAGGAAGGGAACACTCGCGTAAGTAGGGAACCGTCGCTTAGTGGGGAAAGGGCTGTGGCATTGGAAGAGCCACCAGTGAATGCTTGATTGCAGTAAAATGTTATATATTAAGTGCTAGTAAGGTCAAAAATATTACTGGGAGCACTGCTTACAACTTGGTGAAGCTGAATGAATGTAGTTGACTTGAGCCAGGCTAATCTCAAGCAAAGCTCAAGAACTCGAACCTCAGAGGGAAAGATATCGACCACGGAGGTCATACGAGTACTGTACAAGTTCTTTGCCAGACCCTACTTCGAGGTGAACCTTTGAATGACAATGAAGCACCAGTATCCTTGTCACGGAAGTAACACTGGCATACTCGACTGCCAGTCTCTGGCAATGGCAAGATACTCTGTGTCTGCGCGAGGCATCACATAACAGAATGGTGGTGATAATGTCAATTTCGACGGGCATCTCGAGATATAAGTAGTGAACACTAGTGCAGCTTAAGAGACCTAGAAAAAACGGATATTAGAGACAGGTAGAAAAATGTAATCTATGTGCAGCTGCCATAGTCAACGGTACCATTGGTGATCTAAGCGAGCGTTCCCTTCCTGATATGGAAGTTTCTGACTAGGACCCCAGCTGATAGCGCCTCGCATCAGAGGAATGGTAAGGGGTCGATGTCTCGGGATCTTCCGAGTGCAGCCCCTTGGATTGAGAATTGAGAATAAAATTTGGCTGACTACGTTACATAAGCAACTCAGGTAACTATGACTATAGCGACCTCGCCAGCTCATTGCGATAGAGTGTGGAAATGTAGAAAGGTAAGGTAGAGCATAAAAGAGAATGAAAGAAAGAAGAGGAGGCGATAGGTAGGGAGAGAATGCGACGCTGTTTACTACTGTGTTGATACATGAAGTTTGGATGAAGGCGATAGATACTAGTATATGAAATCCTGGAGGAAACGCGGAAAAGCCTTCCGGATGTAGACAATTAGTCATGGGAAAACGACAAGGCTGGGTACGGGCCTAAAGGGAAGAAGAGGGCATTTGAATCCACCTTGGACGTGATGGGTACTATTCCCGAGGAGGAGCAAGTAGAAACGTCATAGAGTGAAACGAAGCGGGTGAAAAGCGTGGTAGAGGTCGACGCAAAACGTGCAGGGAAACAAAAAGCGCATCCGAAGTGCCTAGCGCGACGTGAAAGATCGCTATGAAACTTCGAAGTGACTGTCCCAATGGCGTCCCTTGAAGCTACGAATCTTGATTTAATGCACTGCTGTATTGGTCCTGAATTTAGGTAACTTGTAGAGCGCGAACTAGCGCGAATGATTTCAATTTTCAACTTGGAAGAGGTGCATTATGAACAGTCATTGGAAAAAGGGTTTACCAACACGTACCAGCCGTGGAATCATCTACCAGTGGCGCATCGCACCCGACGACTCATTATGCGTCGGCACGACCCGTGTTCAAACGTTCAACTTGAAGGTTGGTTCAAGAGTTGTTCAAAAGGCAACTACGGTATGAAAGTAAGTAGTAGTGTATGTACTATGTACATACATTGACAATTTGCTGCTCTGAACATTAAAATTGAAAGGCAGATTACGAATACTTATTTAAATGGTAGACAACCACCGAAAGGAAAGAAAGAGAAAGAAAGGCAAAAAATACAATTTAAATGCAAATCATCGTGTCACAAAGTCCCATTGAGTAAAACCGAAGCAATAAATATCTTTTGATTGCAAAATTTAAGCTGCTCTTCTCGTGTATCTAAACCAGGGAGGAAGTGATAAGCAAGTGAAAGTCAAGGAATATGCATAGACCTACGTCGCATCTATTTGTTCCAGCTGCGGCAGAGCAAGCATGATCTTCCTCCTGTAGCCTGTCATATCGTTTCTCTGACAGGGATTTGCCTCCAAATATAAAGTCGTAAGCGAAGATAACGCTTGCAGCTCTGGTTCGAGGGCCCTGAGATCAGGAATTTTGTTTCCGTTCATCTATAGGAGATAATGTGAGGAACGCTTCACATAAGAATGACGGAGACGGAAAGTACCCATAGTTCTTCCAGGTTTGTCAGATGCGATACGTTCTCAATCGCAGATACAAAGTTGTTTCCAACATCGAGAGTTGTGAGTTGCAGCTAAGATCCGAGTGTTAATAGAACGTCAAGCAGCAATAGTAATGAATAGGCGGACGTTATTTTCTAGGCCCTCTAACCGTTC